ACCCAGTCCCTCACAGTTCACTTTGAAGTCTTGTTTTTCAGTTTCATACGATAGCAGGGGCTGATTGCTTCTCATTCCATTTGTGTATCCTAAAGATCAGTCATGAAAATGCCAACTCAGTGGGCCAGCCGAGAGTTTATTAGGTCAGGCCACAGAATTTGACTCCCCAGCTAAATGACATTGTGCACGGAATCTCTTTAGGGTCTTTCCAGAATCGAGCTGAGCTATGTTTAGCTTGTTAAGATGAACTGGTTAGGGGAGGGAAGATAATGGGAAGGAGGAGGGCTTGTATGTGTACATGATTCATGGAGAAGAATCCAATTTTATAGAAACCACAGCTCAAATTAGAGAAAGCAAGCTTTTGGATTAAGATGATTTCTGTTGTGGTTGTAACATACCACAGTTTGATTTTTGTCCAGATGAAAACATTTGGTTTTCACTTCAGTAAATATTGTGGAGACATTGCCAGCTAATTCTGAAAAGTAATGAAACACGGCTTTGGCAAAAGCGCAGATGCGTTCTCTACTCCCAATTCCACTTATCTGATCCAAGTTCAGATTTTTTTTTTTTTTCACATTTGCTAATGCACTTGAATAATCAGGAGAGGAAAATCTGCTTGTAATTTTAATAGAAAACTATACTATACACTATACTTCATTGGGTATAAATCCTCCCTCCAAAAAAAAAAAAAAGCCCGCACCATCCTTAACCCACTTATGATACACACCTTTCATTGACGACTTCTCTGAAACTAGTTTCTGAACGAGACACATGATGTAATTCTGCGTGATGTCAGCCTCTCGCTGTCGTGAATGGGCCTTGTACCTCAGCTCATCCTCAACAAGATGAAAACACCAAGGCAAGACTTTCTGAGACACCCTTGTTTTCACCATATATTTGCTGGTGTTTTGCAGCAGGTGGTAGGTGAGCCTTGCTGTGGAAAGGGAAGATCTCTTTTTAAGAAGCAGCTTCAAGTTGTGAATCACCTCTCTCCCAGCTCTCTCTTCCTGTTACTTTCATCCCTGTCATTACCCCATTTCTGTTTTCCTGGGCCCACAATGAGCTTTTCAAAAGTTTGCTTCATTTGAAGGAAAGAAGTTTTCCTAATAAATTTTCTAGAGATGAAGCTTACCTCTTAAGTGCCAGGATCTATAAGTTGCAAACGATTTTTAATGAAAAGCACTCTCTTTATTTTCAAATACTAAAAATTAATTTAAATTTCTTTTCACTCAGCATCAACATGATTATGTAATATACCCAGTTACCCATTTTATAATGAGAAATGTGGGTAATTTTCACCAGTGATAAATAACCCAGACTTCTGTGTGCTGTTCGGGTTTTGCGATATCCTTTTCTTCATCTGTGTGTATAGCAGTTTCCTCTTCCTCTAAACTTATTTGTAAATCAGATGATTGAGCTTTTATCTAAGCTAAGAAGAAATAAATAAGTTCCACATGAATGCCATAGCCAGTTTAGACTTCTCGTGCCTTTTTTTTTTTTTAATCTAAGGTTGTTATATACTTATTTTCTAGGTTTTAGCATATAACAGTATGTTTCTCCATCGCCTCGATTATGAAATATGAGATGAGCTTACTAGTTTTTTTCTCACCAAGAAAGAAAGAAGCTACTTTTGCAGTGCTGTGGTTTTTCCTGGCCTGGTTTGCTAGTTTGGCTTCTCCATTACTTTGCCAAATGTTCATGCCAGTAGAGTGAGTATTGGAGGGCTTTACAATAGCTGCGTGGTGACAGAGCTTTGGACTCTGCACATTAGATTCTCCTGCCCTAGAGGAGAATTGGTGCAAGGCTGATATTTGAACTCAGGACATCTTCTTGCCTCTGTTGATAGTTAACCGCCCTCCCCACATGAAATTCATTATTACTGAGCAGTGATCTTTGCCCTCCACTTATCCTTCTCCCAGGAGTTTTCCTTCCCTTTACCATATTAGCCTCTCCATTCTCCATCTAGTTAAATAGAGAACACTTCATTATCCATTTTTTCTTTGCTGGTGCTTTAGCTGTAGGTCCAGACCAACATGTCAATTACCTGAATAGAACCAAAGTCACCTTTTAGTGGAAGGCAAACTGCTTTTGTTCTCTGTGCCCCCATATTTAGAGGAAATCGCATCCTTTCTTGACTGCAGAGCAAGTTCCATCAGAAGCACTTTGAGAGTGAGTCCCTTAGGAACCCCTCACCCCCATTTTTTTACTGGTCTTCTGTCTCCTATTTTACATTTCTCTTTTATTAGTCTGTGATTTTGTTTTAGAATATTTGTCCTGTTATCAGTTTATTTATATTTACTGAGAAGCTGTTAAATTCATAAGATTGGTGGTTTTCTACTTTTGTTGAAATTACTCTATATATAGGGTATTAACAAAACTTGGATGCTGAACAGAGCTTTTAGACATTTTTTCACTTTTAATTCTTTGGATTGTAAACTTAATCCTTTCCCCCATTCTCTCTAAATCTTGAGCGTGAGGATTACGATTGTTGCTTCATGCTGCTTATCCAATGTTTGAGATTTAAAAATATCAACAGATTCTATAAGTGGAAGTTACTTCCTTTTTCTTTCTCACGTGTTCCATGTGGTTTTACCTGATTCTCTTTGAAACATAGACTATTTTTGTGAGTTGTATTTTTCCCTATTTTCATATTACTCCCAAGTGGCCTCTGTTGCAGAATTTCTTGCATTTTCTGCTGAAGAGAAAAAGAGGAAGTCTGAATGAGTAATGGCTTATTTCCTTAACCCTCCAACAGATGGCAGAGTTGGCTGCGGAAGTTACTGCCGTTTCTATACAAAAACCTGCTCTTTTCGAAACTAATCCAACTTTCTGATTTCAACTGCTAGTTGGTGTATCCAGGGTAGAGTATAGGAAGCTATTCTTTAGAAGAAATTAGACATGGATATTTTGATCTGGAAGGAACTCGAAGAGATTATTTAACCTATTCCCTTTCATTTTACCGAACAGGGAGATTTAACTGCTGAATAACTTCCAGGTGTTGAAGTTTCCCACTGTGTCTCTGTGACAGCATATAACATGTCTCCTATGTCATGGTACATGCTAGGATGAGTTGCAGCCTATGGCTAATTTTTTTTTTTTTTAACTCAAATCTCCTTTGAGTGCTGAAATAAAAGTTCTTTTGCTTTTTCTTAAGTACTTTATAAAGTTCAACTTAGGAAAGAAGGATCCAGTAGTATTACCTGTGAATGGTGAGCCCTGACTGGAAAGCTCTGATTAGGAAGCTGGGAGGGATGCTGTCTCCTCTTTTCCTACTCATAGTGAGTCATGTAATAGTTGTAAAACCACTTAGAACAAGAGTTAACCTATTCTTTCAGTGGCAATATGTATGGGTAGGTATTTTCTTTTTCTTGTTTTGACTTCATCTCTCTTATTCGTTTAAATGATTTCCCCTCAAAGTCTGCCTCAGATTTAAGAACCTTCTGTTGAAACCCTACTTTTAACTGGAAATGATCAAAGGGGAAGGAAAAAACCCCTAAAACGTGGGGAATGGCTTCTGTTAGACTGTACATATTCTGTTATCCACCGAGGGTCCTTTTTCCTTCCTTCCTTCCATTTTTTTAACTCAAATTCGTTCGTTCCTTCTTTTCTTCCTTCCTTCCTTCCTTTCTTCTTCCTTCCTTCCTTCTTCCTTCTTCCTTCTTTCTTCTTCCTTCTTCCTTCTGCCACATACATCCTTTTGGAGTTTGATTTCCACCCAGTGGTGAGACCCAGATAAGTTTTGGGGCTTTTGAATATTGGTAGGTCATGATTGCAACAAAAGAGAACAGGACTGGAGGTGTCTGTTTCGTCTTTGCATTTCTGCGAGAAGGGTGTTTGGTTTGCCACTTCAGCTCCATGTTGCTGAATTCATTCATTCATTCCCATCTCCTTGTTAGAACATGCAGCTCTGAATTGGACAGGAATGATATTTACCATTGCATTTGCAGTGTGAGATCTCCATTTGGGGAGGAGAGCAAATTGTTTACTGGTATCTTTATTGATGTTACTGGGAATGTTAGCTCATTCACAGGAAAGGGGGCAAGAGAAAAAACGAACTCCACATTTATTACTTCTTCTGCTATTGGTAGTAGCTCTCCCAAACATACTTAATGGGAAAGAAGATTAAGGTGGTTGCTGGAAATTAATTTTGGAGATTTTCTTTGTTTTTTAGCAGCATCTGGTCCCAAACAATACACCAGTGAGTTGACATTTCCTTTTGAATTGTTATAATCTGATAAGAACTGTGTATGCTTCTTTATAATACTGAGCTTCTTTTCTGGTGTTATTGCTGTCTTAAGTTCAGACGTGAAAACATTTGGGGATGAGGAGGTTAAGATGTAAAAGGAGTGAGAGATTTGAGTTCTCTTATGAGGAGAGTTTTGTTGCGTAGGTATTTATTTTAAATTTACATTGCTGCTTATGATAGTGAAATAGCTTCCAAGTATATTATTTTTGGGACTCCATGTCTGTCATTTACCCCATTTGAGTATAAGACCATTACCTTCTATAAGGAAATGTTATATTCTGTTTTTAACCACTCGCTTTTCTCTGATTGTCTTTTCTTTCATTCTTAAATTTGTTTGATTAAATTCATATTTTTTAAAGTTTTTAAGTTAAAGGCATAACCCAGAACAGTCCTGTCCTTGACAACTGTGGTTAGATGTTTTTATTGTATTGATTTTTTTCCTTGCTCAATTCAATCTTTGGAGGTGTTTCCCCCCATCCCCCCGAACTATTTTGGTTTGGTGAATGGCATCATCCTCCTACTGTGGGAGTTTTGCTTGAAATCTGTTAAAAGGACACAGATGGAGTTATATTTCCTGGGGGACATTTGAAAAATAAATTAAAAATGGCGGTAGAGATGAATAGCTTTGTTTAGTCTGCTCGGTCATGAAGATTTAGGTTCATAAATTAAAAAATGTCTCTCTTTGTAGTGCTCCTTCTGGAAGGGGCGAGCATCCAGGCCTGTGTTTATGAGCCCTCTTTCTTAAACCTCCCAGGTTCTCCTGCGCTGCCCAACAGCATGGTATATTTCGGAAGCTCTCAGGACGAGGAGGACGTCGAGGAGGAAGATGATGAGACAGAAGATGTCAAAATAGCCACCAACAATGCTTCATCTTCATGCCAGTCAACCCCCAGGAAAGGAAAAACCCCCAAGCATGTTCACAATGGGCATGGTAGGTTTAGTATTGATTTGGGGTAAAAAAACAAAAAAAAAAAGAAGAAGATAAAATCCAAGCTTTGGGTAGGAAAGCTGTTGAGAAGAAGGTGGCAGATGAAAGCTGTGTAGCCGGTTAGTGGGAAAGCCACTAACTTGTTTAAGTGCAAGACACTTTAAGAGCAAAGAGATTGACACATACAGTCAAGTATATTTTAGATGAATAGATTGGCAAGATGAGTAGAAACTTTCTTATGTTGTGGAGATGATGATAAATTCCCTAAGAGCTACAGATAATAGGATTCTGAAGAGGGAGCCATTCCATCAAATCGGGGGTGGTTAAGAAGATTTCGTGAAGAAACTTTTGTGATCAACTTACTGTGATTTCAGCAGGTGAAACTAGTGTTAAAAAACCATTATTCAGCATAAGAAATAAGTAAATGCACATATATTATGAACTAGATTGATTTTTTTTTCTTCCAGTGCTGTGGTGTGTGGGAGGAGGTATAGGACAAAAGGTTGGATGTCAGAGAGGAAACGGTTTAAGTTGGCTTAAGTGGAAAGTGCCCAGTGGTTTTTTAACAAGGAAGTGACTCAATTGGAGATGTGTTCTGGAAAGATTAAGCGGGCATTGATTATGAGGATTACATAAAGAGAAATGACTTGAAGAAGAGGAAACACATTGGAAGGCCGTAATCATAGGTGATTACCTGGTCAAAAGTAACAAAGGACTAAAAGTTGGCCCTGGCAGCACAAATAACAGGGGCGACATAAGTCCAGAAATGTGGCAGGGGCGGTGCTGAGAGAACTTGGTGACGAATGGAATTAGTGTGGGGTCCGGGAAAGAGGTAAGAAAAGCAGAGTGAAGCAATGGCATTGGGGTGGGGATATTATTATGGCTGTTTTCTGTTGAGCTCCTACCAGGTACTCTGCTAGACATATTTCGTGTAGGACTCACAGAAACCCTCTTCTGTAGGGAGCCTTGGTGTACAAATGGCAGAAAATCAGAACTGTCAATAAGTGATTGAGGCAAAGGAAAGTTTCTCTCTCTCTTTCTCTCTTTCTTTATTTTTTTTCCCTCCACCCTCAGCTGTGCACTGAGCTACCACATGTCTTTCTGGACTCAGTGGGAAGGAAATAGAGGTTCAGGACAAGCACAGCTGATACATGATGGGAATCTGTGTATACCTCTCATTATTGTTGGACATTTCTGCATTGCCAGTTTAATGATTGTTATCTGTCCCACCTCTTGCTTATGGCTGTTTTTGATGGCCTATAAATGTGGTAAATACCTGACTCCCTTTTAAGGACTTAGAGTTTAGTTAAGGAGATGGGGTTAATAATCCCAGTGCCTAATAAAAAATGGTGGCTTATTTTTAACTTTTCGGGAAAAAGTTATTTTACCTGCAGTTGTGGTCATCAGGAAATCTTGATGGTTAGAAGAGAGCTCCATATATGAGTAGGAGTACAGGCACAGGTGTAGAGATGAACTTTTTAGGGAAGGTCATGAATTGTGAATTTCCACATAAATGGTGGAATGTGGAATATTGCCTAGTTTTGAAATGGTGGCACATTGACCTACCAGTATGGGGGTGGGGTGTACTTTGGGGCAACTGGAAACCACGGGATAGTGTTGAGAACATATACCCTGCTAAGTAGGAGGAAGAATTCAAATATAGAGAGTTGGGAACGGTCGATGATTTCAGATGTGGAAATAAGATGAAATAGATGTCAAGTTCAGAATGATTCCCCCAGCAATAGGGTTTAGTCTGAAATGAGAGGGGATGAGAGGCTGGACTTAACAGTAGTTCAGATGAGTGCAGGAGGCGTTTTGAAGCAGAAATGATCAACTTTTCACAGCTGCCTAGAGATGCAGGGTTGAAAGTAATAGAACAGGAATTAGGAAGGTAGTTAAGAGCTTTATCATCTGTTGAGTTTGCGATGATGGTAAAAGATAGAATAGACTGGGAATTTATTATGGAGCTGCTGGCTAAAGCAATCAGAACAAATTGGCTTTCTGAGACAGAATGAAGCAAATAGGTTCGTAAGGATTTTTTTTTTTTTAAATTCTTGAGAAGGTATTTACTCTTATAGTTTAATTTGGTTTAATACAAATCAAGAGTAAGTATGAACAGAATGTGAAGTTGGACTCACATCTGTTAGTCTGTTTGTCCATCCAGTAGACATATATTTCACCAATACTGTATCAGAATGGTTCCACGAGATGTTATTTTTCATTCTCACTGTGGTTGGGTAGGTGAATTCAACAGTCATGTTAATCAGGTGAATTAATCCCCTGTGTACTCGTGTAGTTGTGATTGGGTCCTCAACTCCTTCCTTTTTCTAGCTTGTTTGAGCTTGCTGGTTAACTAGATGATTTTCTTATAGTTTTAACTTCCAGTGTCAAAAATTACCATCTTTCATGTGTGTAGATCTTATTTTCTTTAATTCTCTTTTTATATGAGCTGCAAGATGGTGATGTGAAGGGGCAGTGAATATCTGGCAGCAAATTACAGGGAGTTATATGAAGGGGGTGGGGTGAGGGTGAAGGAATTGGCTGAGTTCTCAAGGAAAGAGGATAACAATTTTGCATTGACTGCTGTCATAGTCATTAATATAGAACAAATGCTGGCAACAATTCCTGTGGCAGCTAGTCATCTTTTCCTGCTTTGCTTTTACTGAGACCCATTTCTTTGTAAATGTAGAGTAGAACTCCTCGAGATTCCTCGTAATAGGATTTCACTGTTGGTAGCCATCAAGTTATAAAAGGGGATGTTTGTTTAAATGTGATATATGACAACAGAATGAAACAGATCCTCTTGTAGACAGTTCATTTGAGATAGAAAATTCTTGGTGAGAGTAAAGATGTTTACCTGAGTCTGTTGACCTGGCGTTGGGCCAGTGGTTTTATCTTTAAAGAAAGTTGATAGATGGTGAGTGATTATGTATATGAAAAACATGCTAGACCCCAGGATTACCCAGGACCTGCCCTAGCCAACTTTGTTCTGTCTGAGGTTCAGAGGAGGCTTCTTTATGTTCAGAAAATTGAATCTTTTCTGTTCAGTTTCTGAGAGCACCTGCAGAGCTCCAAGCTTGATTAGATTTCTATGGCACTGGTGCCTAATTGCCTTGTAATGAACAGCGGGCAGGTGTCAGAGGGTACCCCAGCCATGCAGGCGAGCAGTTGGACTTGCCACTCCCCAGAATGGATTAGAGGGCCCTGCGTGTGACACCTGCCACATCAAGAGACCCGTGATGTTTTTGGCCTGCGCCTTGTGCTTCCCTTATCCCTCAGCCCCCATTCTCTGATTTTAGAGGGTGCTTGATAAGCATAAGGAAAAAAAAAAATTCTAGAGATTAAGATAAGTTCACTGTGTATACAAAAAGAAAAGGTGGGGTGTAGTTTGCGAGTAAGATGAAGGCTCTTTTCCTGCCATGCCTCATTTTCCAAAAAGTAAAACCTCGAGATGGATTATCAACATTTTGATTGGATAAAGAATGCGTGAGTGTTAAAATAGATTTTCTAACACTAATAACCTTGATGATGGCATAATAATTGTGTAGACAAGCATGCCCTCAGAATTGTTGACTTTTTCGCACAAGAAAGTGGAGAGCAAATTGCATTTCTGTGTTTTTCTCCATGACAGTATTTCTCTTGCCACTTTTTCCTACTTTGTATGCCAGAGATGTTGAGGTATGTCAGGAAATTTAGCAACATCTGTATCCTCCCCCAGGAGGATCACCTTCACTGAAATGTGGGGAAAGAAATGCACAAAAAACAAATTGTGGAAAACTAACACTATTACTGTGGCAACTTTGGCCAAGAACCCTGATTAGGCTGCATGTCCAGGAGAATAGTTTTATTTAGGCAGTGTAAGCTTGAAGAAAACTGTCGATGGTGTCCCACTTTATCTTGTTTCTCCCCAAAACTTGAACCCGAGTGAAGCAGCGGGGGTTCCGTACCAAACAGGAATCAGGGGAGAGCACACCTGCCAGCTCACCTTCTGACAATGTGCTGCAGTTGGTGTCTAATTGGGCCTTTCTGTGACAGTCCTCCTCTTCCCTCGGGTAGAAGCCCTGACCCCAATAGTCTCCTGCAAGAGCCTGGTGTCCCCAGGCAGATGTTGAGTTTTGCAGACGTTACACAGAACTCTTGATGCTCTCATTTATAATCCACTGGAGCATCCTAATGAAAATGGATTTGTTTATTAAAATACATAATCTGAAATGACATGGACAGCATCACGCGTGCTTTTGACCTTGGGTTAACACTCAAGGGTTACAATAACAATGCCTTCAGCAACTTCTATTTAAATAGCTCTTCAGAGTTTCTGAAATAGTCTTGCATATACAGAACCTCAAATGATCCTAATGATAGAGCCCTTAGGTAATCACTATTTGGAAACAAAACAATGCAATCAAAACACTGCTTTCTGGGTATTTATGCTACAAGTTGATATTTGAAATGGCTTAGTTTTTGACAAGTTCTCATAATTGGTTAGTTTTTTCCAGTGGGATAAGAGGTAGACCAGAGGAATTAATACATTCGTTTGGAATTTGGCTTTGGTTTTTCCTCAGCATTTTCGTTGTGGTGAGGTGTTTGTCATCCTTTGCAGAGAACTTGGTGAAGATTCATCGCTCCATCAGCCACGTATTGTATATTCTTCAAACACCTTTTTGCACTTATGAAGAATGGAAAGAATAGCAGAGACCATTGTTCCTTTGTGTGCTCATCTCGTTCTGAACAGGGACATTTCTCAGAAGACTTTTTAAATAACATGTCATTGAACTCCCAGCTGGAATGATTTAATTGCTTTTGGATTCACACCGGGGGCATGTTGTGTAAGGGCCAAAAAGCAATCATTTGGACGAGTTTACCACATTTCTGCTCTGTGGTTGCCTTCGAGGTGCATTCAGGCCTCTTTCCATCAGGGTGGTGGAGGAGTGGGTGTGCAGGCAGGTCCAGGGCTCCACCATAGCCTTTGCAATGAGGAGATGCTCTCTAGCTGACAAATGCTT